ACAACAATGCTGCCACTCTCCAACATACTGTACATAACGTGTTACTGCATGTAGTATCACGGCTTAGTGGTGTAAATGGACCCTCTAACAGGTAGCTGTTCACTTGCTGTATCAAGATAGTGCTTCTATTTGTTATTCGTAGCTGCTTGACTATAGTATATCTGCCCTCCTTCCACTATTAATCCAAATCGATAACAGTTGATTCATAAACTAATACAACAAAGGCTCCATACTGTATAAACTGCACGAGTAGACTATTGTAACATAACATTGTCTCATAACAGCACAATGCTTTAATTGTGTGAACTGTATGCAAGTACATACTACTATAAGCTACTTGAGTAGCTTACACCATAAAAAGCCATTTAGCAACTTACTGCTACTCTTAGCGATTAATCAGCAGCTGTTTTATTAGTGCAATTCGGTTACTAAAAAGAATCACCCATGTAAGGGCTAAACAACTGCTACTCCTCAAGGGGTTAAATTATATTATACATACAAAGACCCTAAAGACTTAGCCCTCATTTACACCTACAATGTAAATGTGTTTAGGGCTTGTTTTACACCAAATCTGGACTAGGTCTGCATGAGTTTCTGCATATGCAGTGCATTTTTTACATGGTCCGGTCCGGGTTTAAAAAAATGTTTGTGCCTAAAATGGCCTTTCAGTACGTTCCAGAGCATTTGGAATGCACAAAACGCATGCAAAGTAGAAAATAAAGGGCATGTTGCAGTTTTTCCACATGCTCTGGAACTGAATGCTGTGGTGTGCCCAAAATACCATTAAAATACAGTGGATACATTTTTGACGCATTCTGTAACTGCTCTGCATCTGCACTTGGTGTGAACAAGCCCTTAGGAATCCTGCTGCAGGAATCTCATTAACTTGAACGGGTGACATCTGCCACTTGGAAACAGTAGATTTGGGATTCCTGCTGCAGGAAGTTGCAAGTTTCCCTAACCGCACCTACATTGTGGGTGTGAATGCGGGCTTATATATACACTCTTTAATAGGATGCACAAAAAAACATACAAGTATACAGCAAGATTATTCCCGATCTCACTACAGTAAATGGAAATAGGATTAGTCTCTATAGGTCACAGTGTACTCTGTACATCGTCAGTGCTTTCTGCCTTGCCTGAATAAAAAGACAAAATAGTGGAAATGAACACTGGATTCAGTGGCGTAACAATCGCCAAAGCGACCCAGGCGGCCACTGAATGACAACTTGGCTGAGCGAGCCATGACATCACGGCTGGCTCCGTCCAGTTGTCATTTGCGGGGAAAACGGTTTGCTTCAGCCGCTGTGCAGGCTATAGTGAATAGCCCGTACAGCAGTCCTTCGGTTCGACTGAAGCGAAGGGCTCCGGCGGCCAAAGAGAGCCGAAGCTACGGCTGGATCCTTCGGCTCCTTTGTGAATAACACCTATAATTTGCCCTCAATGTTATTCCAGTAAAAGCAACAGGATTTAGAACAAACTACACAGCACAGGCAACTTTTTTCTTAGTTAATAGCTATAGTGGACTGCAAAGAAAAATGATCATAGGACAGGTTGGTTTTAGATGGAGTATCACTTTAAAACAGAACTTTGTTTAAAAAATGCAAGCAGGAAGGTTTTGTATTGCAGAAGAAATACAGTATACTAGGATCGTTATTCACTAAGCTGCCGAAGGCAGCCGATTGAATAACTGTGACGAACCGCATTTGGCTATTCACTTCGGCTCTGTACAACTGATTTCAGCTGTACATTGGCTGACTTCGGTCAGCCAAACATGCTCAACATGTTCGGCTGAGCTGAAGTGCAGAAGCCATTCGACTCAGCCGATCCAACATCTGGATCGGCTGAGCCGAAACTCCGGCAGTTCACTCTTAAAGGCCAGGCGAAGATGTTGGCACCAACAAGGGAGATTGAAGCCATCGCATCAGTGGAACAGAAGTCTATCAGAGTTTGGATCCACTTTAATGACATCTACTACTTTTCAGAACAGACCTATACTGAAGAAGCCGCCTCCATTAATATGTTGCACATGCAATGCAAGTTTTTCAAAAAATGTTAACGACTTGCATAGAATTATTGTAGAAAATTACCTGCGATTCATATTGTAACCTCCTGATAACTTCATCTTTATATGGCAAAATACTGCTTGGTGTGTCTTTACAAGGGATTCTAGCCATGGCTTCTGGTCCAACATCAGCAATCAATCCTAGCAATGTGTTAGGGTTTACAAATTCACTACGAGCACATACATAGGCCTCTCCACGCAGTAGAGAAATCACAGACCATGTTACTGGAGCCACAGCAGCCCTCCCTGCTATGGACCCAAATAGGAGGAAAGTAGCTGGGGTAGAACAATTTTTTATGGCCCTTTTTCGACATTCTGCCACCATATTCCATGTGTGGTTGTTCAACATAATCCCAATGAGAAACAAAACCAAAGCGGGTACTCCGATGGCAGCCAGTCCATACATGTAATTTTTCTCCGGAGCACAGGGGCAGTGAAATGCCACCACAGAAAATAATTCCTGGCTTCCCACAGTCCCAAGGGCAATCAAACCATTGAATATCATTACGTCTTTGCTCTTGAAGAACAGAGCAAGAAATTTAAAGTTTTCGGTTATGATAGCAGCCATTATGTCTTCTTGATGTTCAGGCTTTGTCTTCTTAAATGTAGAACTATTTTATTCTGTAAAACATAGACAAAATACATTTATTGATGTCACAACAACAACTACTTTCCATTGACTTACCCAAAATCAATTGGGCTTAAAAAGCAAGAAAAACATTTTAAAAAAAGCACTTAAAAGCACTTTGTTCTGGCGTCCCCTCCCTCCTTGAAAAAAAAATTGTCAGCTTGTGATTTGCACACTTCCTGTCATAGGGTCACCCACTGTACTGTATAGAAGAGCAGGGTTGTTAGCCTACAATTGAAAGTGTGGTAGGACTAAAGAACACCTTCTCCTCTCCTCATATCTATAACACAGGGGGAGGTCTGTTGTATTCAGAGGAGAACTGGGTAGGGGCGGATAACACTATCTGATATTTCAATACATTATTTGTCAGATAACTTCACAGAAACAGTACTGTAGTTGCAGAATTTTAACAGAAAGAGACAAAACATTGGAAATTGGTACATTTACAACACACACAGGGACCATGGGGAACAAAAAGTAGCCACCCTCCAGTGTCAGCACCAATTCAGAGATGATTTGAGGATCTACAGCCCAGTGATACACAAATAAATTAAATTTTTGTTAGGGTACTTGAGTGCATTTTGGCTGGTGCAGACTTGGGCAATCCTGGGATGGGCAATCCAAGTGCTTGTCTGCAGTTGCAAACAGTGGCCACATTGATTTCAATGAGGTTACATCTGCGCGGCAACTGCTGAAAAAAGGTACATGTACCTTTTTTCGCGACACATGACGCACGTTTTTTCAACCGCGATCATGTTAGATTGCATGGGCCGAATCGCGGCAGGAAACCACACGATCTGAGCGGCAGAACTGGGGTGCCATTCAAAAATTATGGCACCACAGCGCGATCAATGGTGGTGTGCGATTCCGTAACCGCGCAATTTCCTGCACGACGTGCGGGCGGGTCAGGGATCTTCCCAGGTGTGAACCTGGCCTTAAAGGAGAACTATGGGGTCACGGGAGGACACAAACTAGGGTCCTCCCGTGACCCAAAGCTCAGTATATCTTGCGATATACTGAGACCGCCGCAGCCGGGACGGATCCCGACACCACTGTCGAGATCCAAGCAGGGACATACCGTTGCTCGCTCACTTCCCGATCTATTGAGCCGACGTGTGACAGTTTAATTGTCACATGTCGGCTCAAACTATGAGGTTGAGTGAAAATCACTCACCTCATAGCTCTCCTTTAAGTTTTAACTCCTGAGTTTAGTTGCACTTTAAATATACCTGTAGCTTTTTCACTATTCATTTTCTATTACAATGGAGGAGAAATAGGATGGTGATAGCTGAATTAAATTTGATATGTAAAGATGTGAAGTAAAATGAGACTAAAGCTGATCATGTAAAATAAGCTCTAGAAAAGGAGAATGAGTCACAATTCATGACATTGTATTACTGAGACCTGTTTTTCTTTCAAAAGGACAATGACAGATGTAATATTAAACAACTGAGAAAAAGCTCACACTCTAAAGTAATGTATGATTTTTCACAGAACAACACCCTAAGCTAAGAATTTCCCTTTCATACTCTGCAAACAAGTGCAGGCATGCAAATATAACCAGGATGTTACCTAGAGAGAGTGAAGTTCAACACGACATTCAAATAAACTTCAAAAAGATGACAGTCTCTTGATCTGGCAATGATCCAATGTCTGTGGGGCAAAACAAAACAGCCCTAAATGAATGTTCTAGGCTAGGGGAACAAAGTGATTGAGCAGGTTAAAGAACCATGTCTAATTGCAATGGTTTTTCTCAGTATTGGGATTTTCTGCACATGGCTCTCCCCCTCCTTCCTCCATTGCCCTAAGCAGGGGCCTTGTGTGACTAAAGTCACACGTTGGTTCCTGCATGCCTGACTTCTCTAATGTCTAAAAACTTGTATTGAAGAAAATATAGGGGCTACCATTGCTGGGTCCCTAACCTGAAACAGTCAAGGAAGTCAGGACTTCTAATCTGCATATTTGTACTAGGTCAGTGACTGAGAACCTGGAGTTCCTCTTAAAATGATTTGATGTTTCTAATTGGAAACCACCATGGCTGTTCTTTAAAGTAATATTGAATGATACCCCCGACCCCCTTCCCCAATGCTAGTGTAAGGACTTACCTTAAATGATGCCTCTTGATCCGATCATCCTCTTCTTTACTGTAGTTTTCAGGAGTCCCTCCAGCACCTATGCCGGTCTAGTGCTGGTCTCTGCTGCATTGACTTTCCTTGTGTCTCTCCTTGTCTCCCAGCCGAAGATCTGAACTGCGCATGCGCCTGCCCCATGATCCTTTGCGGCCGCCTGAGAATCATCAGATCTTTGGTCGGGAGCTCGAGGCGGAGACACAGGTAAGTTTTAACCCTTTAAAAAAAAATTTGAAATGGTTTTGCATATATCTATTGCTTGCTAGCAGTAGATATATGCAAAAACACCCGAGGGTTTAATAACCCTTTAACTGAAAGAGAGCTCATCTGACACTAGCCTGTGTCTGATGTTGCATTTTAAACATTGTGCCTTATTACAAGTGTAGAATCTATTTGGGAAACATTCATGTTATTTGAAAAAGATCAGAAAGACAACTCTCAGGCTAATAAAAATGTTGTACTAAGCATTTCCATAATATGCTCTGAAAAAGTGCCCAACGGCCTTGCCAATTAGCTATTTTTGCCTGTGTGAAAGATTGTAGAATAGGGTGTGCCTTTATTCACATAACTAGAAGGTTCATAATTTTGAAAGGCTCTCGAACAATCTTGGGGTGGGAGGGAGAATTGTCAGGTAAAACTAAAACAGTATGATTGTATATTACATGATGCCTGCTCTACTGTAGACATACAAGAACAGCCGATGTCAAATTATATGGCATATTGTACTATATTTACTAGGGATGCACCGATACCAGTTTTTCCAGACCAAGTACGAGTACCGATACTTTTCCTCAAGTAATCACTGATACCAATACCTTTTTTTAGTGTCATGTGACAGTTTTTCTAAAACAATACAGACTAATGATTATAGGACAGTGGTGGAGCTCCAGGGACCAGTTGCAGCGGCAACTTCTGCAGCCCTGGTAGTTCTGCCACTGACTTCAGGCTGTAGAGGGACTACAAATCTCAGCAATACATTATATAGCAATGCAGAATAATATCATCAGCTATGAAGGACTACAAATCCCAGCAATACCTTATACAGCAATGCAGACTACCACCAGCTATAGAGGACTACATATCCCAGTAATACTTTCTACAGTAATGTAGAATAATTCCATCTATAGAGGACTACAAATCCCAGCAATACATTATACAACATTGCAGAATAATACCGTCCGCTATAGAGGACTGCAAATCTCTGCAGTCAGATAACATGGTAGCATGGCTGGGATGGAGAGGAATGATCTGCAGTGAGAGAAGATGGTACCGTGGCTGGGATAAGGAGGAATGCTCTGCAGTCAGATAACAAGGTACCATTGCTGGGATAAGGAGGAATGATCTCTACCCTCCCCCCATCCTCTACTCCCCTATTTTACCCTCCTCAGAGGGGGGCTGCATGGTGTCGCTGTCGGGGTGCTGCCTCCCTCCTCCTCCTCCCCTGGCGCATCCAGGGCTTTTGTGTCAGTGCCCAAGTCTTAGGAAGATGTGCAGGCCGGCAATGTAAACCGTACGAGTACTCACGGAAATGCCCAGTACTCACTGCCGAGTACTCACTGATACTGGTATCGGTGCATCCCTAATAATTAGGCCATTACATGTGATGGAACATATAAGGAGACCACTGCTGGCTTAAAAAATAATTCCACCTTTTGCAAAAAAATTAAATAAAAATGCATGCTTCTTCAGAAAATATTTTTTGCATAGGAGCCAGTAAAGCATTGCAACGGCGATCAGTAGATCATAGGTGCAATGCTCCGACTCCTGCAGATTCTTCCTCCTGTCCATGTCCGTACCCACAACAGAGATTGGAAGAAGTGTCAACAGACTACAAGTGTGGTGACACCACCGCACTTTTATTCCATTAAAACTAGAAGTCCCTCTGATGCGGTGGCTGATGGGACTTTCTCCATGTACAGATCCTGTTGAACGATCTGTATATGGGTGACATGGCTGTGTGGGCGGAGCCACACACAGCTGCACAGATTTTAAACAGCAGTAGCCTGCAGGGAGAAGAAACCCGAGATTCCGATAAGTGGGGGGTGGGAGGGGGATTGCAGGAGAGCCTGCAATCTGACCATGTTTCATGTAATACCCTAAATATGAATGTAGCATGAAACATGGTAAAAAGCATGAACTTAGCCTTTAAATGCAGTATAAAAAGCTAGTACTACATGCAGGGAAATGTTAACATCATTTTACCAACTACCAAGAAGCCTGAAATTGTTTGATTTCTAACAAATGACCAAAAAACCTCAGCGGTTCAGATTTTAATTTGCTGAAGGAAGAGAAAATTAAATCAAGCATCTGAGTGGTGGATATGGGTAGACCTGGCCATAAATGCATCAAATTTGAATTGTATCCTGCCATCACTCAATCTATGGGTGTCCCTGCCAGCACCACACGTCTCAACAAAAATTGATTTTTCAACTGACTTTAGGCAAAGGAGCCAGGTGGAAAAATGTCTGCCGAGCAGTGACTGCAGTCAATCAGCAGTCACCGTTTAGGTATTCAGCAGGGGAGATTCCTCCATCAACGCTCATTAGCGTGGCTGAGTAATCAAGTGATTTATACTCGTTCAGCCTGCGGGGGCTGACTGAGAAAAATCTTAAGCTGGCCATACACCTTACAATTATCTGCAGATTTTCTATGGTCAGATGGAAAAGGTGCAACAGATTCCTCCATCTACACTTAACTGTGTGGATGGAGGAATCTCCACCTGGGCCAATCTGTTGCACTTTTTCCATCTGACCACAGAAAATTTGCAGATAATTGTAAGGTGTATGGGGACCTTTACAGTGTATGGCAAGTTTTAGAATCAAGTCTACTGCCCCTATACTTCCCTCACCCATCCA